GTGTCTGGTATATCTACAAACATCTGTTTGTCTGTCTGTCTGTCTGTCTGTCGGCCTGTCTGTCTGTCTGTCTGTCTGTCTGTCTGTCTGTCGATCTGTCTGTCGTCCTGTCTGTCTGTCTGTCTGTCTGTCTGTTGATCTGTCTGTAGAACAACGGTTCATCTTATCAGCTTCACACTCAACATTAATCAAAATGGGTCAAACAGGAGTCCAGCGCTCCGCAGCCGAAATTCACTGGAGTTAAAAATAACACTGATAGCATCTCTTCCTCTTTAGCGACGTGTCTTCAAAATAAAAGCACAACATCTGTTTTGTTGTCGTAATACTTTACACACCGAGCCCGAATAACAGACTTTTTATTTTGGAAAGTTGTGAACTTGAAGTTGTGAGTAATGTGTCGGCCGTGTGACAGATCTCTGAAATACCGTCGGTTCGGTAAATCAACTCATACACGAAACCACACACGTGAACAGTAATAGAGTTCAAATCTCCTCTGCAGACAAACCAGGTAGAGTGAAAAATCTCTGCACACAAACAATCAAAAGTGACAGTGGACTTTGGACGACGCGCTCGTGAAAAGGAATAATTCTGACGTAGCATCGACGCAGACAAACGGCAACACGGTCTGGAGCCTGCAGAGAAGACGGTAACTTCACCGGCACCATGAACCTGAACTGCGACTCACTCGTCACCACTTCATCCTATAGAGATAAATACTGAAATATACCGTTCGTGATCCTGAGAGCTGAGCTGTATACGATACATCGACAGCTGCAAATGGAATTTATAGTAAATTCTCAGGAACGTGCAAATCTCACGTATGCAGGAGGGGAGGGGGGGGAGTGGAATCATGGAAGAACAAAAATATTGTGTCTTAATTTTTCATGTTTTAGGAGTCTGTGAAGTCATTGTTCCCTGGGCAGGGAAGCCCAGTCTTTTCCAGACAAACTCTCATGTTACGAGAAAACCTGTTTTCCTATTCCCAGCTGGTGTCGGTCCTCAGCCAGGTTCTCCGAGCTGCTCCTGCCCTCTCCTCCTGTGGGCCCGGCTCCAAACCCTACGATCTGATCCGGTGCTTCACCCTCTTCACGAACCTTAAAGCCAGCACCTGGTGGTCGTCACTGTTTTTCTTGCCGGCGACCAACTCGCTGCGGTCATCCGGACTTTTGCATTAACGCCATCATCGGGTTCTCGCTCCGTGCAGCCTCGGTGCCAAACCCTGGTCAACACCTGTAAGCTAATTTTAAACTCTCTAGTCTCCAACACAAATTTTAACATTTTCCACCACATCGCGGCTCCAAATTGAGCCGGCTTCCTGGAGATCGATTTCCACCCTTTTTAGTACCAGAGCACACTTAAAAAAGCAACAGAAGATATTATTGTGCGCTCGGGAACAAAAATAGCCGCACACAGCTGCCTGCCAAACTGAATTATACTCAGACCTTTTTTAATATAACAAGATTATTTCAATGTTTACCAGAACGTTTTCTAATTTAGCGCTGTAATGATTTATTGTCTGACAATAACTTTCCTATTTTTTTCCAAACATTTAAAGGGGGAGCACAGCACTGATGTTGTTCAGTTCAGTATATTTGTAATTAAGGTGCTCGATACTTAGATGTATGTGAACACCAAATTTACCAACTGATTAAATTAACACGTTGTCGGGCTTTTAGGGAAAACAGAACTTCGACTGTTTTCAATCTCTCGTTTCTGACGTGATTTATGTTTAGTTTGTATATTTCCATGTGAAGCACTCGTATTTCCTTGTTGTTCGTCTTTCTGAACTCGGGTTCGTTGATGAAAAGGTGCAAATACAAGTATTAGGGCCACGTTGAGGAAAAAAAACAAAAAAACGATCTGAGATTTTGAGCAAAAAGTCGTAATATTACAAGAATAAAGGAAAAAAAAAAAAAAAGAGAAGAAGCTGTGACATCACGACGTCTTCTCTGGTCCGTGTTGTTTTAAAAAGGTTTTTTATTTGACAAATTACTTTCTTTACAAAGAGTTCTGTCATCACTGTCATGGCCTCTCCAACCACACACACACACACACACACACACACACAGTGGAGCTGGACAAACTCTCCTTTGCTTTTATTATTACATGAATGTGCACATTGTGCTGCAGAGTTTTTTTTTTCGTGGCCGTAATGAAACGGACACCGTGGCTATTTTCAAATACCCTTGGATACCGTATTACCACCCGACCCCAGTGAAAACAGTTGTATAATGTCTTCTGCGGCTCCACAGGGAACTTTTGAAAATATAAGCCAGCATTCAGGAGGAAGACGGATCAAGTCTGCGGAACTTGACCTGTACTAGTGAATAAAAGTCCAGATATGTAGGCATCTGCTGCTTCAATTGTAAAATGTCTTTTTTATTAGTTTCTTGTGATCCTCTTAAATTTATTCGGGCACGATACTCGATTCCTCTTTTTACATCCATATCAAGTCATAAAACAGTGATTCGCTTTTCTGATCAGCTCAACTCAGAGATATTTAATTTACTTTGAACTATAAAGAGCAGCAACTCCTCACATTTGACATTTTCACTGATAACCAGGGAATCCTCTTGAAGAACAACCAAGCTAATGTAGGAGGGGGGGGGGGGTTAATATTTATACGTGCAATTTGGTGAAGATCCAAATAAAAATCCTGTGAGGAAGTTTTTTCAACCAGATGTAAACCTGTAACTACCACCGACGTGCTAACGGACAGGATTTTATTTTCAACAGGACTGTTGCTGGAGGTACTGAACGTGTGTCGAGTGACATTTTTAGTTAAATATTCAATTTAGTGAGAAAATCAAGTGATTAATAAAGATAATAAATAGGAGTTGGACATATTTACTGTAAAGTGCTTTTACTGTTACAGAGACAATATCATCCAAACTCATTTTTGTCCCATTAGGTAAGAAGACGATAATATCACCCTGCACAACATGTTGCTACTGAGTAATTGTTTTTGCAGAACCTGAGCTGGAATCAGATTAGACCCCGTCACTGATACACTGTGCAGAAGTGAGACTGAGCCCTATTATCTTGGGAAAGGTTGGTGGTGAGGGATGGATGGCGGCGGCGGTGGTGGTAGGGCACAACCTTCAGCTGCGGGTGTTGAGTCATAGCACGTGTGATTCACTGATGGGGGGTTTAGATGGTTAATGAGGCTTGCTGAGGAGCACTCAATGGTTGGATGGCTGTTTGCTCCCGATAGGACCCACAGGGGCCTACATGGGCCCACTTTTCCACACGGACCATTTACTTGCGGAGCCAACACATAGGATGGAAGTCCACGCCGGGCCAGCTCTCAATACAAACACGGGTGGTAACACCAGACTGCGCCAGAGAACTCTCAAACTATACAAGCTACACAAGGGAGCAGCGATGTGGTTTGCAGTCAGTTGTATATATAACTGGAATAAATCTGGAGTAAAGTAACAACCTTAAAATAATGCAGCAATACGCATCACATGTGATCCAGGTCAAGACCGGTCGCGTGTCCAAAACAACGCACCGTAAATTAAGGTGCCAGAAATAGAGCTCAGGATTCAAACTGTACATGCAAAGTATAAATAAGATACTAAATCATTATGTAATTGATGTATTTGCCTCCAGGCTGAATAATATAACTTTACAGAGCCGCTGTATTCCTGAAAAGAAGTGATACGATCACTACGGACGGGGTTTCAACAGCCTATATGAAGCTCAGACCTGCCAAGAATATTCTGGCAGAAATGTTTCCTTCTAGACACTGAGGTCAAATACAAATGTACGTATAAATAAACAAGGCACCACGAGTCGTAGCAGCGCCTCTTCACAGCTTGGCTGGCACCGAGCAGGAAAACCAAAGTGACACCGCTGAAGCCGTTGGTTCTTAAATCAGTCCATGCTGTGGTCGTGCGGCCTTGTGTTTGTAGGACATTAAGTTTTGGTCAAACGATTCTCGAGGCTCTGCAGCTGCTCAGGGAGACTCTGGGATGTATGGAGCGGTGAGGGGGAGACACTGTCTGAAGAAGAGGCCCTGGCTGTTGATTTTAAGTAGCTGGATCAGAGCCTGCACCTTAACCAAAGCATGGGAAGGCAAACCTCATACGCACAGTGTGGAAAACCACACGCATCATTTTAGTCTCTAACAAATAAGATTAATGGGAGCTGTGCTGGGGCGTGCACATTTCTGTGGTGTCCAGTGAACGGCAGCCAAACCAGACAGACCGCAGCGCTAGACCTCTGGGACTGGCACGGTGAGCCTCTGTGAATGATTGGTCTCGTCTGTCACTCAGCAACGAGGCATCATCCCCAGACCCCGGCAGGACACACAGCATCAACTGTTATTACTACCAATGTATCCAGAGAATGAAGTCTGCACCGGGACACGAGGATTTAGGACTATAAACATCAACTCGAAACATAAATGGAATGTGCGGAGTGAACAAGAAAATGTGTTTCGATAGATCGGGAGGTCAACTGGAAAAGTATATACAAAAAAAAAAAAAAGAGAGATGTGTGGGGATTCATGGACAGAAACTGACATTTGTGGCGTGTGAATCCGAGTCACTGAGATCCCATGAGAGAGCGGTTAACAATGCGATGCTTCAGACCAGAGTTATGTTGATGAAAGCCAGCGAGCTCCTAACTGCTCTGCACAGATAAGGACTAACAAGATCTTGACTGTGACAGTGGATTGTCAGATAAAGACTTGGCTTCCCACTGCAGCTTGTAAGGTTGTAATAGCAACCACCTACCTGCTGCAGCTGACGCAAATTCTCATAACACGGCAGCGGCTAATCTCTTAGCACTGATAGCGCGGGGTGCTGAGGCCTGGAATGGGAGCTGTAGGGGTTTTGTGCAGATGCCCGTGCAGATAATTTCTCACAGGCTTGTGGTCACAAACAACTCACACCGAATGTGTGTGTGGAAGCGAAGGAAGATGAAGATAACTTTGACTAAACTGGGATGGCGATACAATCATTCTCCTTTTTCTGGTGCTGTCACCATCCGTCTTATCTGCGTTCTGTCCGTTTCATCTGCCTGCAAGCCTCCTTGATCTCTGTTTGTGCGAGGCACCTCAGCATCCAGCTGAGGCGGGGCCCTGTGATGTTTGCATCTGAAGCCGGCAGATAGATGCTTAAGAGGAAGTATATCAAATGCATGTATTTCATTCAAAAACAGACTACAGAGGAATTCCACGCATACGAAGGAAGTGACACGACAACTTCTCTCGGGGAAAATAAATAAACACAGAGAAGAGGAATGGGGATGAAACCTCACCTGCATGGTAGGCCACCGACCCTCTGCTCCAGCCCGGGTGTCTGTTCCTGGGGTAGTCCTTCACAAACACAAATACACACACAGATTACAAACACACAACTTCACCGTGATGGATGCGATTGTTTTTGTGACTAAACCGTAGACTGAGCGTAAAGATGGACGACATGACAGCTTCCGAAAATGAAGCCAAATCACTTGGATCTGTGGCGGTCGGCTGAAATATAGGTCATCGACCCTGCCTGCTCCACGTTTGTGGACAGGACAGGGGACAAACAAAAAAGTTTAAAAAAAACGGTAAACGTCTCTCAAAGATGCTTCCTGTCATTTTCGTCGTCGTTCTTATCACAAGTGTTCGTGTGTCTGATGAGTTTGGTTTTAATTTGATGATATAAAAACAGGGTGAAACATCGTGACTGACGCTTGTTCAGTGGGAGGAAGTGGAGACACGTCTTTATTTTACGATCTTTGGGACGACGTTACACAGTTTAATGATGGGTGTGGCTAATCGATGTGTTTGGGAGCAATAACATCTATGACGGAGTGAGAAGATGCTCATTTGAGTCCAGTCGGCTTCTTTATTATGTCACATTTTGAGTCTGATAATTGTTTTGATCAACAAGTTGTGATTGTGGAGGAATTTTACAGCTTGAACGAGCGTCAGATGTAAATGTTCCTGTCAGTCTGTATCACACTCACAGCCACCGGACATGTCACGTCAAGTACAGAGCGAAGAGTTGCTTTGAGTGTATATTTAAAACTGTGCTCGTGCACTAAGATATTTTGTTGCTTGGACAGATTTCGCTCCAGCTTCAGCTCTTCTCCTCGCAGTCACACTGCTTCTGTGTGAAAGTGAAAAGGGCGGGACGATTTCATTTGTCAACACTAAACCTGGCAGTCTATTGTTTGGGGAATTTTGATTAGACTTGTTGCAGCGCGGAACAAGAAATCCAAGAGCAGAAGTTTCTTGTGCACAGAAGCAGCGTGAGGAGAAGAGCTGAAGTGCCGTGGCACCGTTTGAGCACAAGCAGAGCAAATCTAAACATAAGCAGGAGTTATTTGAGCGCGAGCGCAGGGTTTAGAGTGAGAGCATTACACAAAAACCTGAACAGGAAATCAATAAGTTCTGCTCTGAAACTGGAAGACCACACTCTTGAATATAGAGAGGGGGAAAAAAAACAAAACACACACACACGTCCTCACTTTTCAATCCATTCCTCACAAGTTTATTCTTGCAATAATAAAGTCGCCACCCTCCAAGCTCTTTAAAAAGCAGAATATCAATCTTACGACAACTCATGCACATCGCTCCAACACGTGTAGCAATCGAAGGTTTGACAGACGTCCTGCACCAACTTAACCTCGCAGAGGGTTTGAGTTTCGCTGACGGTCAGTTCACACATCCACAGCTGAAGATGAGAATCTCCTAACGGCCGTCTCACCTCTGAATTACTAAGTAGAGCGTTTCCCAGTGCAGTAAATTCTGATCTCTGCAGGTTGAATCAGGTTGCTGGACTCTTATACCGATGCTATATGACTACACGGACTCCACACGATGTCTCAGCGACACGCTGGTCTCTCTCTACATCTGCCTGCGTCTGCACAGTATGGATGTCTCTCTGCAGGCCTCATGATGCCAACAGAAATAACTAGTGGGCCAACTTTTGGATAAGATCAGAGTATGACTCAGAGGTAATTACCAGAGATTTTTATCTGTCTTCTAGGCTGCACCTCAATTACTGTAGAAACACAATAATGAACAAGAGAGGAAGGACGAGGAGGAGGGAAATGACATTATACTCCTCTTTCATCTCTCACTTAACTACTTCTAAATGCTTTCTTGTTCATATTCTTGCAGGTAAACTCTCTCTCTATTTCGTTTCTGCTAGTACTAACAGGCAAAAAAAAAAAAAAAAAAAAATGAAAACCAAAAGGCCCTTTATTTTCATCTTCTCTCAAGTCTAATAAATCCGACATATGACCACTGTGACGTCCAAGAAAGACGAAAAGAAGGTCAGCCTTAAGCAAGTCACTGTAAAGGAAAACATGGCTTTATCCAAACAAAAGAACAGCCCGATGACTGATGAAGAAACCGAGAGAGGCAATATATTACTCATAAGCAAAATAAGGCAAATTAAATTATTACTTTTAGCACCTGTGAGGAGCAGAGATATGAGTAATGGGGACGCAGCAGACAGCGGCCAGGTCAGGCCAGGCAGCGTTGGAGGCCAGGACATCAGTGAAACATCAGCGATCATGTCTGACAACCCCGTTGGGGACTGAGGAAGAGGAAATGGAGATGGATTGTGGGGGGAAGCGAGCGAGCAGGAGGAGGACAGAGTGAGACATCAGCAGAGGAAGACAGAGAGACATGGAGGAATGCAACTACTGCTCCAAGCCCGAAAGCCCCTGATCCGCCAAGTCTGCTCCTCTTTCTCCTCGTCTCAACCGCAAGCCTGAGGATTCCTTTGGCTGACTGGCATGTGGGCTTCATCTCCGCGAGGAGAGGAGGAAAGACTGCGTGTTTGTTTGGTCTCTGATTGATGATCCACAGACTCACATCTGATCAGTGATTTGGAGGAACTTGCTGAAATAAGACAACATTAGGAGCTGCAAAAAAAAAAAAAATTAGGGATGGATTTATGGTGCTTTAATGTGAACCGCAGACTTGTGTCTGATAAACGGATCAACTGGTAAATGCCTGTTTTGGTTGCTGTCTCCTTAGTAATTGTTGTGTCCATCATCTCTAATCCAAAACATCGTCTCTGTGTGATCTATCCGTCCCTTCGCTACAGAACGCAGCTTCATAACATCACATTATCTGAATATAACAGCATCAACTGTTGAGTAAGGTCAGTCGGTCGGTGGACCCCCTTTGGCCTAAACTTGATTATCTGAAAAACTATCGTCTGGGTTGTTGTGGAACGGCCCCCGGAGGATGAAACACACCATTCCATCTTCTTTGTCAATGCTAGTGCAACGCTGCAGTACAAGAGCAATGCACTGAACTCTGATCATCTCCTGACATTATCTGTGGATGTCCAAGTCGGTTGCTTGAGACATTCTCCTGCCAGCTCCCTTGTAAAGATTATGTGTAAGTGAAGCCCAGGTGGGAAATCAGCAGGACATAGTCTGGACAACTATTCACCACGAGCGAGTGGTCACAAAGTTTCTAACACGCCGCAAGCAAGACTGACAAAAACAAAAAAAAAAAGAGAAGCCATACGTAAACTTGGGAAGACGAGATTCGAGAGGGCTCGGCGATAAGAGCAGACGCTGCTGTGAATAAGAACACGGGAGCTCCACAGCGGAATTTATACGTGTCGTCCCGTCTCCTGCCTGCTCTGCTGAACCCTCACCTGAACGCTCAGTGTGGTGTACAGGAGATTCTCCTGCTGCACTCTTCATTTGTGAAAGTCGGGACCTCATCACGATGAGGACTCTTTGTCTGGAACAAGTAGCTGCAGCCTCGGCCTCTTGCACACGTGTGAAACCATCAAGTGCACATTACAGAAATCCGCAGACTGTTGACAGGCAATAAACGGCTTTTTTTTTTTTTTGGGGTTGAAATTAAATTGATATATCGAAGTCCGTATTCCTGCCAATAATTTGGGGCAATACAACTTTACTATTTAATAGCCACCTGTGTCGAGGAGAAATACACTTTGCCAGGGAGCATTAATCACGGGTGTCAAAGAACCACAAAAGCAACAAACTGACTGAGGAGTAAAAAGATTTGTTCTGTGGGACTTGGAGCAGATTACGTCTGATAAGAGAACATTCCAACCTACTGTGGTTTGGGAGTTACAACAGCCACTGTGATTTTTCAATCGGGGGTGGCGCCACTACTTCACACCTACACTTCTGTATCAACATATGATGAGATGAATTTCAGGGGGAGAACGTTAATCAGCTGGTCCCATCTCTTTCGAAACATGGTCGATACCTCAGCTGGAATCAGCGAAATGCAGGCTGCTCCTCAGAACAACACTGAGGTTGTGTCCGCGGCGTGGCGGAGAGCGAGAGCCTGCAACACCAGCGTCTCCAGAGCGGCCTGCATTTCCACACTGTGGCAGAGTAAACAAGTCTGAAAGAATACCGAAGAGGTGGAGAGGTGCGGGCCGAGAGGAAAACCACGTGGAAGGAGATACCCATCATCTACTGCAGATATATCAAACTTGCATATCACAGAGGTGCCTAAAAATATAACTGAAGCTGTGTGTGTGTGTGTGTGTGTGTGTGTGTGTGTGTGCTGAGGTTCGGAACAAGGGAAAGTCGGGGGTTTTCTGTTTGTACCTGCCCACACCACCTCACCTATAGGGGTTGGGCAGAGACTGTGTAGGGAACTAATGCAGGTCTGTTTGTGTAACCTTGTGTCATCAGGCTAAAACCTCTCGCTCCCGACACGATAACAGCAACCGTCTGACATTAGCTGATGATCTGACTGGAGAGAGGAAAATTACAGCCCATCTGTGTGTCTATGTGTTCGGGCAAGTCTGTCACTTTTTACGGATGCGAGTGCTTTCTCTATACAAACAGATAAAACTGATACAATACCGAGTTTGTTCTGTTACTGAATGGGTGCTTAGCAGTGTACTAATACACATATACACACAAACACACACACGCACACACATATATAAATATATGGAAATTATAACGGTATAAGAGATGTTCAGATACCAGGACTGGAAATGACTGTGATACCGCCAAAAAAATGCCAGGTCCACCATCGGCAAATATACGACTCTGAGAAAACTGCAATTTCCTGTTGCCAGCACTCACTTCTTAATCGCTCCGAATCAACAGCGATGCAGAACTTTATTCAGAGCGGAGAAGAAAACATTTGTGGCTAAAACATCGTGATAAATCACGCTGCAAAGTTTCAAAGGAAAAATATTTAGTTTAAACTCAAAAGGTGTTTTTCTTTTTGAGGCTGCACAATAACAGCTAATTAAAAGATTTATTTGATGTTATGACATTCTGTAATAACACAAGTTCTATGGCATTCGTTCTCTCTATGTATTCCTGTTCCTGGGATCATCATCTCGAGCGAGGCCG